TCTACTGCAGATTCCTTAAAAGATGGTTCTTTGGATTCTACTTTTTCACCAGCGAGGTGAAGTCCAACACTTCAATTGTTATGGTGGATTCAAAGAGACATTGGTTTAGATTGTAATGAAGATATATTCAGTTTACCATTCTTGACATTCCTTTTAGTATGGTGCATAATTCTTCACTTTTTGTTAAGAACTTGGATCTCTTACAGTTATGAAAATTTGTTACTATTATTATTTAATTAGCTATGTTTTATAGGAATTTGAAGTTCTACATGATCAAATGAGTTGAGATTCTATCTCTTGTTATTTTTTCCAATTTGTATGTTGTCTTTATAGGTCTATCTAAAATGAAACCAAGATGTGATGATTAAATTTTCAATAATAGCAACAAACAATTGAACCAACACTAGGTTCTATGAAAGTTTTGGAATTGAATATTGTGGCCGTTAAGTTAAAAACCAAGCAAAAAGGCAAAAATAAGAGCAGACTTCAAGGGTTGTTGGTAAGCATTATCAAAACTCCTAAAGCTTTGCATTAGTTGATGAATGAGACAAAACTGGACTCCTTTTTCCAGTTTAAGAAAGATTAGACTATTGGGATTATGGGTCCTCCAAACCTTGTGACCATTAGTACAGATAATTAGAATAGACAGACATAATGTAACTTCTTTTGATTTTTTTCACCAGCAAAGAGAATATTATTAACGAAATACAATGGGTACTCCAAATCAGTTTATACCAAAATACAAACAGATGTAACTACCAAATTACAAGCATTTTTACAAAGCAAGACTACTGCACAACTATCAGCCACTTCAAATATTTGCTCCTTTTTCATAATCTCCGCATGACCAGTATCAGCCACTTCAAATATTTGCTCCTTTTTCATAATCTCCTTTTTCAAATATTTGCTTGGTTTTTGAGAAGCATATCTATACCCCTAGTAAATAGATCGAAAGAGGAAAAAAGTTTGTTATTAGGATATCATTTGATGCATACTACAAGATTGTTGAGAACTAGGAGGTTAATTCTCCCAACATAAACACTACTGCATATCAGTTCATAGAAAAATTGATCTCAACCACATGCAAGGCACATAGAAGACCTTAAAATCTTCAAGCTTAATTCAAAATTTATTTTTGGCAATTCACAGATACTAATTTCTTCTTTTATGCCAATGGAAATTTATCACAAATATTCCTATGTACTCTCCAAAAAAAAAAACAAAAAAATCTTTTAACAGATTAACATCAGAAAGAGTTGGGTATCATAACATTCCTATTTACTCTAAAGTTCTATACATCAAAGAGTAAACTGAAGAAATCACAACCACAATAAATCAAATCGTAAACAAAAAATTGGTCAACCAAAAAGAAGGAAATCGAAAGCAAAGCAAATTTGAGGAAACCATAGAAAATCAGAACCATAGAAAATCAAAGAGGAAACCATCAAACCAAATAAAGATGATCAATGAAATTTGAGGAGTAGAAGGAAATTGAAGGGTCATCTTCGTCTTCCTCCTCTTCAATTTGGTTGGTTCTCCTTTTCCTCATCTTCATTCGGTTGGTTAGGGTTGGGGCTCAGGAGTGATGAGGACGAAAGAGAAATCGATATTTGATAAATTAAAAATTTTACCCTTTTTAATAAAAACCCAAATCAGTCAGTGGGGTTGAGGTCTGTGTGCGTGGCAAGCCATGTAAGTCGCCCCCTAAATTCGTCCTATAAGTATCGGTGCCTGTATCATTACTCATATTTTTATAGTATATCTCATTATTTTATCAACAAGATAACAATCGGCCTTTATTTTTCCACAGCCAAAAAAATACTCCAGGATCACTAATTTACCGATGTATATGAAGTTGTTGTACAAATTTTGCAAAAAAAAAAAAAAGCTTCTGGTTTCCAACAAAAATAATATATATTGGTATATCAATCTTCTAAGCAAAAAATATATATAGTTTGTTAAATTAATATTGAAATTAATATATATTTTTTATTTAATGTAATCTATTTATTGCCAAATGTTTTTTTTTTTCTGAAAAGCAAAAGGATATTATGATATCACTACACGCAGATGTATCTATAGTGACGGAAGTTTTTCGTCAGTATACACCCTTTTTTCGTTAGTATAGACCCCCAGGGACTATTCCGACGGAAGAGCTTTCTGTTGGTGCAAACCTCGTTACTATAAGGTACATACCGACGACTAATCCGTGGGTATAGACCATGGGATCTATTCCAATGGAAGATTTGTCCGTTGGTATGGACTTTGAAAAATTTTTAAAGATTTCACCGTGGGTATAGATCCCCCTTTACAGATAGATAATTCCGTTGGTATAGACCCTAAAATATTTAAAAAAAATTTTCCGTGAGTATAGATCTTTACCTTTACAAATAGATAATTTCATTGGTATAGATCAATTTTTTTTTTTTTTTACAATTGGTAATTCACTTTTATTTTATAATTTTCTCCTACACTTATTCTTTTGCTATATTGATAAAAACCTAACACATTTTATTCATATATTGAGAACAAATGGTACTCTAACCCATTTTACAATACACAAAAACCTTTATAAAGTAAATTTCCCATCAAACAATACCATTCATTCACTGCTCTTTTTATCCACCACAATATAATATGGAAATTCAAATAGGAGAATCCCAACTATGAGCACACAAAATAGTAACTATGTTAAACATACTTAACACGTATCACTGTTCTTTAGCTCCTTCTCCAACTTTTCCATTGCTACTGAAAGCCTCCCAAGTTCCCTAAGCTGATTTAAGAAGAATATTCGTATAAAGCTCTAAAGCTTGTGAAACATCAAATGCAAAACAATTATTGCATGAAAGAACTTTATATAACTAATAATGATCAACAAACCTCAACCAAGCTGCTGCAAATTGAAGAACCTATCCAACAGAAAAGGGATATCCACCCAAGCAGCTCAAGCACGTTCCTTGTTCTACAAAAAATAATAGTTTTTTTTTCTAGTTAATATTTCTTACAGAATCCAACCACAAGTTATATAAAATCAAATGTTGATACAGTAAACTTCATACCTTATAGTTACTTGTTTTGCTGAGCCAAACAATTTGATTGAGAAATAAGAAAGTCAATAATAATGCATTCTTTGACTGAAAGAAGAATTAATGAATTTATCACAAAAATAGAGCCAATTAAAAATCCAAAAGAGAACTATAGGAAAACGTTTCTTTATAGTACAATCATGCCTTCCCCAGCAGAACAAGTGAAAGGGGAGTTCGTCCAGGAACTGGGCTAATAAGAACATGCAAATCCTTGACAAACTGCAAATTAACAACATAAAGCATAAATCAAGCAAGATTCAAGATTTGTAATGGACCTAGGCATTTTATCTTATTGAAGGCTTAAAATCATTTAATCGTGTTCAATCAAGGGTTGTGACATAGCATATAACAGATGATTCAAGGTAAAAACTAAAGCCAAATGAATTTAAAAAGAAAATGGAAGTTAATTCAAATGAAGAACCACAAAGAAGACTACTACTATAGGAAGTTTAGTACTCACTCTCACATTTGATGTTCATATTTAGTGCCTACTTTAGGCAGTTGTACTTTCACATCAACCCCATGCTTATGACCTTGCAAAAGTGTCATTGTATGAGAGATATAATATATAGAAAAGGCTAGAATCACATTAAGCTTGCTAGAAGTAGCTAATTAGCTATGATCACTATCACATGCTACCCACAACCCACCACCTCCCCAAAACCCCCCCTCTTCCCAAATGAGAAAGTAAGATAAAGAGAAGAAAGGGAAGAGAAATATTATCAGAACAAACCATTTGCTTCCAGTTTGATAATTCATACCTGAATTCTGACAGTCTGGTCATTTTTAGTTCCTACTTAAGATTTTAGCAGAAGATGAATCAAATATCATAATTAAACAATACAAGAGTTTAAAGAGAGTAGTTTATACACTAACTAGCTATTTTGCAAGAGGCAAAATATATCATAATTAGACAAAACAAAGGTTTAAGGAGGGTAGTTTATACACTAACCAACTGTTTTGCAACTTATTTACCCAAAGACCAAAAAATAGTTCTTTGAAACTTATTTACCAAGAAAAATGTAATTGGAAGATGGAATATAGTATCTTAAAAAGACATGACATACACGCTTTTGCCTCTGGTTCAAAGCTTAAAGGACATGCATCTTGTATTCGTTCCATCTTTGCTCTTTCTTAAGCTGTTGAGGAGAAAAAAAATTGTATTAAACAAGGTGAGTACCTCCAAGTACTGAAAATTGATATTTCATAATGGTTATTCCTCTTGAAATATTTGGTTAACTTTATTGAAATACATAAATGGGAGTGTCTACAATTGAATGGGAAAATATAGGTAAATTGGGAAATAAAAAGGCTAATTAGCAAATATGGGAATCTTATAAATCTCAAAGATCAAAATCCAACCTTGCATGGTTAATATATATTGTTATATATATATATTTATATATATATTAAAAAGAAAGAGAATACTCTGTGCAATAGGATGCCTTATAGAGACCCAAAGTAAAGATAGAACTTGCAGTCATTAAACTTTTAAGTAAGTACCTAAAGAATTTCTTTTTCTAGTGAAGCCTTACATAACCTGAACCACATGGACTCTAGCTTCATTCTGCATTGAAGCTGAACCTGTATAACCCAAAACTCCAATAATTGTGAAAACAACAAAAGGACACTACAATTCCTCATAAATATATTTTATCTAACAGAAATAGTCACCTTTTGTGCCTTTAATTTCTAAATCTCATCTTGAAAATTGTTTGTTGCATCCGTAGTTTTATATGAAATGTAAGAGTATGAATAGATTTCACCTATCCTGCCACATTATTTGACTTCCCACGATAGTCATCCTTTAGTTTGTGGGCACCAACATTAGAAGTTGGAGAAACATTGGCCACCTTGTATCTTAATTTCTCAATCTCCCTTTGCCAAGCCAAATTCACTAGAAAGTCAGGAAAACTATAGAAAACTATAGAAAGTTTAGGTTGTTTGGCATCATCTAAAAACATATTATTGTCTCCAAAGAAACAAATTAATAAAAAGGAGGTCAATATTTGCTTGGGAATCATCTTTAACATGTTCATACTTTAGGAAAACCTCTTTAAACATGTTGATTTTCACTTTTCAGAGACTCAACAAGGAATATATTAAGATTTAAGCACAGTGTGATGAATCATTTTCTGTTGTTATAAGAAGAGCACAAACAAAATCCCTATCTCAGCATCATGCAAAAAGAAGAGTAGCTTTATCAAATACCTAAAAAAAAAAAAAAAGAATAAACAGAATCCAATAAGCTTCGACCTAAACCCCTACAGATTC